TTTTGGGCCTATTAAAGGTGTTTATGGGCATCGCCGAGGAGCTGGTTTCGCTACGCTGGGGCGCCGAGCCTTCCTCGCCTCGGGACTTCGTAAAAGGGGATGGACCTATCTTTGGCTTGACGTCGCTTCTGGCCGAGCGGGTTGAGATGGGGGGGTTGTTTGCCTTGCCGTTAGAGGGGGTCAAACTAGGGGAAGGTTACGCGCAAAAGAAGCACTCCGGCGGCGATCGAGGCGGGGAGTCCGATGGGGGTCGTCTTTTCACCCATTTTTCAGACACGTCAAGGGCGATCGCGGAAGGGAATGCAAATACCATCTTCGACATGGCAACTTGCACCATCGCACCGTATTCGAGCTACCATGAATGGGAAGCGGCGTTGAGACTTCGAGTGCATTATCTAGTGGAGGCTTCGCGAAGTCTAGAAAAGGAGCTACTGCTTCGTCACTATTCCCCGGAGGAGCGTTCGATCACGAAGAGTGAATGGGAAAGACGTGTCGCCGAGACGATTTGTCGGCTCAAGTCCTATGTTATGCGGACCTTTCTAAAACGCCTCCAGGTCACGCTGAAGGGCAACCCCGTGCATAGAAAAGGTTTGTTGTACTCCCTTCCTCACCATCTTTATGCGCCTCCGCTGTTTGTGGTCTCCCCGTTTGATTTTATTGATATACCACTTGCACGGGCAAAATATAGTCATCTCTACGCTGATGGTCCGATGTTTATTAAACCCTTCCGCTCGAACCAATCGTTTGTAGGAAAGCTCACAGACTGCCTTAAGGAGGAGCTTATGCCATTTCTCCTGAATAATGAGGAACGCGTTGTGTCGCAATCTCGGCGGACGGAATCTGGCGGATCCACCAACTTTAGTGGCTTCTTTGATGAACTTAGCGAGGCTTCGGAGAGTATGTTGAGCGTGCTGCGGGAGTCCTGGGAAGAGTTACAGGCTAACCTTCATCAGCAGCTTTCAAGATCAGCGCGTGATACTAACGGTACCACCATCGGTGCGATTTACGATATCCTGAAATCGGAAAGAAGCGGTGGGGATGGAGAGGATGGAGCTAGTATGTTATATCAGATGCGGTATGCATTTCCATTGCTTACTGGGGCTAGCAGTGGAGACCCCAATTCATTTTTTCCTTGTGCGGCGCCAATCCGGCTCGACTTGGCCGAGTTCCAGGGCCAGTTAATCTCCAGTTTGCACTCCCGGCGCCAGGATCATTTTTACACCTATTTCCAGTCTGAATGCATTGGTCCAGACGACGTCTTTAAATGTAAGGAGCCGATAGCGGCAGACCGCTGTTTTTCAAACCCGACAAGGGACCCCCAGGCGATGGGTATCTCTACCGCTCGCTGGGAGAACGTGTGCCATGAGATTGGGGTTGGGAGCATGGCCGAGAAGCTTCGCAAAACTTTTTATCAAAACCGTACAAGCGCACCAAGAATAGACACATCGGCATCCAAGAGACCGCTATTCACCACCATTCCGTCAAGGCAGTCCATTGGAAGCGACTGGGCATTATCTAGCACTACTCCATCAACCTACCAACCATCTATGACGGAACACCGATTAACCTACAATACTCCACATAGTAAGCAACCATCTATAACCGAACAGAAGCTGCCCAACAAACCACAAACTAAACAACCATCCACATCGGAACAAAGACTAACCTACAATACCCTACATAGTAAGCAATTACCTATAACAGAACAGAAACCACCCAGCAGCATTTTACAAAGTAAACAACCATCTGTAGTGGAGCAGAGACTAAACTACAATACCCTATACAATAAACAACCACCCATAGCTGAGCAGAGGCCATCCAACAGCATTTCACAAACTAAGCAACTATCTATAGCAGAACCGAGGCCGCCCTACAGCGTTTCACAAACGAAGCAGCCCTCTGTAATGGAGCAGAGGCAACCCCACAACAATCCACAACCCAAGCAGCCCTCTATAGTGGAGCCGAAGCCGCCCTACAGCAACCCGCAACCCAAGCAACCCTCTATAGCAGAACCGAGGCCGCCCTACAGCGTTTCCCAAACCAAGCAACCCTCTATAGCAGAACCGAGGCCATCCAACAGCGTTTCCCAAACCAAGCAACCCTCTATAGCAGAACCGAGGCCATCCAACAGCGTTTCCCAAACCAAGCAGCCCTCTA